TTTTCGGTTTTACGATTTTTTAAGGTTTCGTTTTTTCTATTATTACATTTCTCGATTTTTCGAATTTTCGATTATTTTAATTTTCATTTTTTTTTCTCGCTGTTAATATCACACAGTGTATCGAAAACAACCACAAAAATTGTCACTAAAAACATTTAAAAATTCATACAAATACAGTGTTTCCAAAACATTTTCCCGAAAAAAATCCATTGGGTTATTACGATTTCAACAATATTCTTAATTTAAGACGTTTGGCTGGTATAAAACACAAATAAAGAATTAATTCTTAGTTAAACAAAATATGTAAAATCATCTAAATATGTACCAGAAATATTCACTTAGTCGTTATAAAAACCGACCAAACAACTATTTCCCGCAGAAATTATAGTCCAAACCAACCAAATCGCTTCTGAACGCTTAGAGTCGACATTGGCCTGAGCGCGATCTGGTCTGTTAATCAAACAAGTTCTCAAACGACAAGTTGTAATGAAACAAGTTTTTTTATTGGCATCGACTATTTAAATTTGGCGCTTGTCTTTGCCGGTTGAGGACTCCAATGTCAATAAGGGTGGTTTTGCAAAATCAGCCTGTATCTCGCATTTATATTAGTCTATGGTTTCATGCTTCATGCATTTTCGGTAGGCAACATATATCTAATAGTAGTAGTATTAGATATACGGTAGGCAACGATCGATTGTTTTTTAAGTTCATGGAGATGTAAAACATAGTTATTAGTAGTTATTTAACGACCGAATTGGTTAATGAAGACTATTACAAAACTAGCCATTAACAATTTCGGAAATAATATTGTTAATAAAAATGTTGTTATCGGAAACCTAGTGGACTCATTTAACAAGTGTAGCCAATAGATACCAATTGAAGTTACTAACTAGGGATATTTTCTATTTGACCATACGTCAACCAACCTAACCTTTAAAATGTTTTGTAATTATTTAAGCCCGAAAATGATTACATGTACTGTAAATTTACTGTGTTTTAGCTGAAACGCGATCAATCACGCCCTAGCACCGTCTAATCTACTCAAATTGTATTTTTCAAGTAATTTTTATCGTGAAAATGTTAGGTTAATGATCAAAGTTTCATAACCTTTTTGTAAGAGTCGTGGACGGATATTATGGTAACCAAATTTGCATTCCCTTCCCCAGTGTAATACTAATAAGACGTTTTAGGCAACCAAAATGTCAACTTTGGAGTATTCCGAATCACTTCGAGAATGGGGTAGATCGTCATGGAAAAACGTCCACAACTGTAAACTGTGTCCCTATTTTACAACATCGGTTTTCTTAATGGTGAATCACGTGCGACGACACCGTTCATCTCAGGAAAAATATACGTGCGAAAACGCCAAAATTGAAGAGTATTATTGTAAAGAGTGCAATTTTAAAACGGAACTAACGATTCTGTTCAAACAACACATTAATAAAAATCACTGTGTTAAAAGCGAATCGCGGGACGATTTATCACTGCAGGATTTCACTGTGCAGAAGTACGTTTGCGAAAAGTGCGATTTTGAAACAAATCTGTCGTTGAAGTGGCTTCAACATACTTCAGAATGCACGAAAAAAAAAGAAAATACCCAAAGTGTGTGTTCTGTGAAAGAGAATACGACAGATATTTTCTATTTCGAGAAAATTGATGGAGAAGGTTGGTATTGCTGTGCACTATGTTCCTACAAAGTTAGAAATGAAGCTATTTTAAAATGCCATATGGAAAAACATTATTTAAATAAACGATATGCGTGTCATAAGTGTCCATTAAAATACGAATCGAAAAGAACTTTAAGAAATCACATAAAACGAAACCACTTAGATGAACGTGATCTTGAATGGCACAGATGTGAAAAATGTCCTTACAAAAGTGTAATTAAAAGTGATTTAACTAGGCACATAAACAACTTACACTTGAAAGAAGAAGAAGGTATATGGTACCAATGCAGTGAGTGTCCATATAAATGTAGGACGAAATCTTATTTAAAAACTCACGTGACTTTAAAACATCTAAATGAAGAAAAAATTACGTGGTATAAATGTGAACAGTGCGAATTTAAAACTAAGCATAAATCGTCTTTAAAAAATCACATAAATATCCATTTAAGGAAACAAAACGGGAATGGGCATAAGTGTGAAAACGATGAAGAATGCAGTGAGTGTCTGCTCGACAAAAATAAGCCGTACGAATGTAGATATTGCCCATTCAAAACTAAATGGGGGTCCTATTTACAAAAACATGTAATTTCTCTACATTTGAATGACAATGAAATTAATTGGCACCAATGTGACAAATGTCCATACAGAAGCAAATTTATTTCAGAATTAAAGAAACACAGAGATGTTAATCATTCAGAAGAACCAAAGTGGTATGAATGTACCAAGTGTTCGTATAAAACTAAAATAAAAAAGTATTTAATGCGGCATGTACAGATCCATTTGGAAATCAGATTGTATCAGTGCAAATATTGTCCATATAAAGCAAGACGTGCTCCTGATTTAAACACTCATATGAGTCACCGCCACCCAAATCAGATCAATCCCGATGGTAAGGATGTTAAATGGTACGAGTGTGAACAATGTCCTTTTAAAACTGTAAAAAAATATTCTTTGAAAACTCACATAAACAACTTACACTTGAATGAAGAAGAGATCAAATGGCATCAGTGTGATGAGTGTCCATTTAAGGCGAAAAATGCGTATCGTTTAAAACGTCATGTAATTTCTAGACATTTGAATGAAGAAAAAATCAAGTGGTACGAGTGCGAATATTGTCCACACAAGACGAAACTCAAGACCTATTTAACGTCTCATATGAATACGTGTCATTTTGAAAAAACGACAGTTGAATGATACAAATGCGATCAGTTTTTACAAAAGTAAAATTTAATCGTATTTTTATAAATACAAAGAAAACTACACAAAGAGAATTATATTTATTTTTAAGTTGTTATGTAAGTACACCTTCTGCTTTAATAGTAGCTTTTAAATATTTTGTGACTAATTTTTAATTAAAATTTTAAGAGAAAAAAAAATGTTGTATTTTCTACATGATAACTAGTTATTTAATACACAAGGGTCTGCCATAAGTGTGGTAACTATTATCCATTCACGATCTTTATATAGTAAAGTGGGCTTTGATATTTTATATTTTTTATTTAAGTTGGACAAACTGATTTGATTATTTAGTTTTTTGTCTGTGAGTAGTCTGATTGACATTTGCTTTGAGCTTGATTACCACTTTTCTACTTCAGTTATTATTGGATTAGAATTATTAGACGCAAACAAATGTTTTAATTTTGTCAGCATAGATGATTTGTCATTGTGACAGATTCACAGATCATTGCGACATTATTTAAAAATAAAATCCCTAAAATAGTTTTACTGCAACAAAAAAATTGGAATAAAAAATTTCGCAATGTCGACTCTAAGCGTTCGGAAACGATTTGATTTATAAACCACGATCCGTGATCTGATACACATCCTAATCTATAATTTCTTGCTGTTTCAACTTTTGAATTCTCAGCTTTACGAAATTTTAGTTTCAGTTTACTCCTATTTATTATTCAATTTTACGATTTTTAAATATTTCGATTTTTCAATTTTTGACTTTTATAAACCCTTTATTTGTCGATTTTTCGATTAATTGAATTTTCAGGTTTTTAGGTTTATCAATTTTTCTATTTTTTCAGGTTTCGATTTTTCATCTTAACCTTTTTCATTTTTCGATTTCTCAATTTTTCAATTTTTTAATTTCTCAGTTTTTGGACATTTCAGTTTACTTATTTTTCGATTTCTCAATTTTTCGATTCTTTAGATTCTCAGTTTTTAAATATTTTAGTTTTGGGATTTTTCAGTTTTTCGATATTTCAGTTTTGGGTTTTTTCAATATTTCTGTTCTTCGACTTTTCCATTTCTGACGTCTGCATTTTTCGATGTGTCGACCTTTTACTTTTCCGATTTTTAAATTTTAGATTTCTCAATTTTTTGGTATTTTAATTTTTCAATATTTAAAATTTTCGATTTTTCAAATGTTTTGATTTCTTAATCTATCGATTTTTCGACTTGTCGGTTTTAGATTTTCTGTTTTTCCATTGAAGTTTTTTCAAATTTACAATTTTTCAAATTTCACATTTATAAACTGTCAATTTTTCGATTTTACAATTATCCGATGTTTTCATTTTCCCAGTTCTTGAAATGAAAAAATCCATTGGGTTATTACGATTTCAACAATATTCTTAGTTTAAGACGTTTTGCTAGTATAAAACACAAATAAAGAATTAATTCTTAGTTAAACAAAATATGTAAAATCATCTAAATATGTACCAAAAATATTCACCTACTCGTTATAACAAACGACCAATTGAATATTTTTGAATATTTCAAAGGACGATTCTGGGAAAACCATTGGAGTTATCGAAGAAATGAAAACGAATATGATTTCTGCGGCTCGAAATCTACAAGAAAATGGATTAAATGAAATTTCGAACATTTTGTTGAAAATTGACGGGAAATTGGGGTGATTTTGCATATTTTTAAATATTTAAAAGGACGATTTTGGGAGAACCATTGTAGTTATCGAAGAAATGAAAACGGATATGACTTCTGCGACCCGAAATCTACAGGATGTTTTAAGTGAAATTTCAAAAATTTTGTTGAAAATTATATTTTGAAATGACCAAACAACTCTATAGTCCAAACCAACCAAATCGCTTCTGAACGCTTAGAGTCGACATTGGCCTGAGCGCGCTCTGGTCTGTTGATCAAACAAGTTCTCAGGCGACGAGTTGTAGTGAAACAAGTTTTTTCATTGGCATCGACTATTTCAATTTGGCGCTTGAGAATTCCAATGTCAATAAGGGTGGTTTTGCAAAATCTACCTGTATGTCGCATCTATATTAATCTATGTTATTACTCGCTCAAATTGTGAACATCCACATTCGCGTATTTTGTATTGTAAACAGATAACGCGGTAAATAATAATAATACCAATAATAATAATAAATATATATTTATTTAAAGTGGAAAACATTTAGTTTCTTTCTTCATTCTAAACTACGCCAAACTTAAAGTAAATTAAGTCCTATTTATGTCGTTTTTCTTGGTGTTTATAAAGCAATGATACAGTTTTGGTTTTGTAAGCACACTGATGGCATTTGTGCCATTTATTAGCGTCCGTTTTTTCAAAATGGTATTTATTCATATGGGAGGTTAAATAGGTCTTGAGTTTCGTCTTATGTGGACAATATTCGCACTCGTACCACTTGATTTTTTCTTCATTCGAATGTCTACAAATTATATGAGATTTTAATTGATGCAAAAGTTTTGCCTTAAATGGACACTCATTACACTGATGCCATTTGATGTCTTCTTCATTCGAATGTAAGTTGGTTATGTGCCTTTTTAAACAATCTTTTCTTCTAGTTTTGAAAGAACATTTTTCACATTTATACCATTTAACATCTTTACCATCTGAATAGATCTGATTTTTGTGGCGCTTACTTATATGGGTCTTTAAATAATATCTGCGTTTCGTTTTAAATGGACAATATTCGCACTGATTTTGTTTGATGTCAAAATGAACATTTACATGCTGTATTAAATTGTCTTTTGCTTTGGTTTTATACGAACACTTGGCACATTCATACCACTTTGCTTCTTCTGAATGATTATAATCTTCGTGTTTCTTTAAACCTTCTTTAAATTTACTTCTGTATGGACATTTGTCACATTGGTGCCATTTAATTTCTTTGTCATCCACATGTAGAGCAATTACATGCTTTTGTAAATTCGGCCTCCACTTAGTTTTGTATGGGCAATATTTACATTCATACCGCTTATTTTTGTTGAGCAGACATTCATTACATTCTTTTGACAAAGTTACCGTTTTAAATGAACACTTTTTACACTTCCACCATTCGGCATTTTGTTTCTTTAAATGTATCACATTCTCGTGGTGTCTTAAAGATCTTTTGTCCCTTGTTTTAAATTGGCACAGTTCGCATTCGTACCACGTAACATGTTTTACAATTGCGTGAGTCTTTAAATGACATTTATTCCTAGTTTTGTATGGACACTCATCGCATTGGTACCATTCACCTTCTTCATCTTTCAAATGTAAGCTGTTTACGTGCCTAATTAAATTACTTTTTTGTAGAGTTTTGAAAGGACATTTTTCACATTTGTGCCATTCAACATCTCGCTCGTCTAAGTGGTTTCGTTTTTTGTGATCTCTTAAAGTTGCTTTATATACGGTTTTAAATGGACACTTATCACACGCATGTTGTTTGTTTAAATCATGTTTTGCCATATGATATTTTAACTTAGTTTTATTTCTAACTTTGTAGGAACATTTCGTACAATAATACCAACGTTTTCCGTCAATTTTCTTGAAATGGAAAATATTTGTATTCTCTTTCACAGACCTCACACTTGCTAGATTTTCTTTTTTTCCCGTGCATTCTGAAGTATGTTGGAACCACTTCAACGACAAATTTGTTTCGAAATCGCACTTTTCGCAAACGTAATTTCGTACACTGAAGTCCTGAAGTGATAAATCGTCCCCAGATTCGCTTTTAAAGCTGTGATTTTTATTAATGTGTTGTTTGAACAGAATCGTTAGTTCCGTTTTAAAATCGCAGCCTTTACAATGATACTCTTCAATTTTAGCGTTTTCGCACGTATATTTTTCCAGAGATGAACGGTGTCGTTTCGCGTGGTTCACCATTAAGAAAAGCGATGTTGTAAAATAGGGACACAGTTTATAGTTGTGGACGTTTTTCCAGGAAGATCTTCCCCATTCTCGAAGTGATTCGGAATACTCCAAAGTTGACATTTTGGTTGCCTGAAACGTCTTATTAGTATTACACTGGGCAAGGGAATGCAAATTTGGTTACTAAAATATCCTTCCAGGACTCTTGCAAGAAGGTTATAAAACTTTCATCTTTAACCTAACTTTTTCACGTGAAAAATGACGTTTCGATTTTTTGAAAAATACAATTTGAGCTGATTAGACCGTGATTGTTGGCGTTTCAACTAAAGCACAGTAAATTTACAGTACGTGTAATCATTTTCGGGCTTAGATAATTACAAAAATGATTATTTGTTCACGTTTAATAGGTTAGGTTGGTTGAGGCATGTTGGCCAAATGAAAAATATCCCTAGTTAGTAACTTCACGACCTATCTATAAAATTAAAAAGAAAATAGAACGCTGCGTACTTTTTCTGACAGTTATTGATACGAAAATAATTATGCACTTTCGTATTCTAAATATTTTCGTATGAATAACTCAATTTCATAAACAAATTAGATACTTGGCGCTGCCACTATATATATATATATATATATATATATATTTTCTATGAAAACAGAGTAAAATCACTTCCATATCAAGTCGATTTCCAAATCGGCCTTATCACTGCCTCCTTTACTAACAAGCCGTGCTGTGCGAACTGGCAACAGCGCCTAGGAACCGATACGGAGGCCGGCCGCATACGTCGATGCGAGCCGAGCTAAAGCCGCACAGGAAAAGTAATATATATTAATTATCTATACATATAAAATTGTTTGTCCTGACTGACTGATTCATCAACGCAGGGTCTAAACTACTGAAGCTAGAAACATGAAATTTGGACAGTAGTTTCCTTTTGTGATATAAGCATCCACTAAGAAAGGAACTTGGGAAATTCCACCCCTAAAAGGGTGGAAAGGGGTGGTAAAGTTTGTACAGGAAGACTATTTTCTAACCCCTTCTGTTGTTAATATTTACGTGAAACTTGGTATTAATGCTTTTCAACACAAGTAACGAAACACGTATTTCACCATTTTCAGAAATTCAACCCCTAAAGGTGTAAAAAGTGGTGACTAAGTTTGTACGGGAAAACTACTTCTGTTGTACATTTTCACGTGGAACCTGGTATTAATGCTCTTCAACACATAATAAAACAGGTATTTCAGCATTTTCCAAGATTCAACCCCTAAGGGGGTGAAACGTGGTAACCAATTGTGTATGGGAAAATATTTTTATTGTAAATTTTTGCGTGGAACTTGATATTAATGCTCTTCAACACAAATAATGTAACGCGTATTTCAGCTATTTTTGGGATTCTACCCCTAAGAAGATCAAATGAGGTGACAAAGTTTATATGAGAAAAAATATTTGTATGGCGATATTTACTTGAAATGCTGTATTAATACCCTCCAACACATTTGTTACTTGGAACTTGGTAATCTGTAAAATTGTTTGTCTTGACTGACTGATTTTAAATTTTTTTTGATATTCACCCCCAACGGAATATAATTTGCGTGGAAATGTGAGCAACACGAGAAGTTAAGTATTAATCCAAAAGTGGTTAAAAATCAAAGTTTAAAATAGTTAAATATGTTTTTCGCATATTAGACGTAGTAGGATTATTGGAAAAATCAGTTCTAATCGTTTTAAATTTAAGAAGTTGTATAGAAATAGGGAGGGCGAGTAAGCGACTGCGACGCGAACGCGGTCTGCGGTCGGACGCGTGAGGCCAAACAGCGTTGACGGTTGCGTTTTATGTCACAAATTGTCAGAGTATTTCTCCCTTAAGTATTCTAATTTTGTGTTCCTGTGTATGTAAGGAGGTAGCTGTAGCAAAAAATATCCTTGAATTCTCCTGAAAGAAACCCAAACAGGCGATGACAGCTACCCTCAATACCGGCGAAGAGGTCCCGCGGATGGTGGATTCACGGTTGAATTCTATGGTGTAACCCTAGATAACAGATGCGTGGTACCGTACAATCCAGTTTTGTCTTGAACTTTTTCTGCTCACATCAACATAGAGTATTGTAACTCTGTAAAATCTATTAAATATATATCCAAATATGTTAATAAAGGATCCAACCAGGATTATTTGGTCGTGAAAATGATAATGATGAGGTCAAATTATATGAAAGTGGTCGATGTATTAGCAGCTGGAGCCTTTCCTATACATGAACAATTTCAAGCGGTTTTTCATCTCACAGTGTACTTGGAAAATGACCTGCTGTCTATTTTAATCCTAACGACTTTAATAATGTAACTGAAAAGGTAAATAATTCACAGAAAACTACTCTTCTATCATTTTTTGAGCTTTGCAAAACGGATAATTTTGCAAAAATCCTTCTTTATGTTGAAGTACCTTCATACTATGTGTGGAAAAGTACCAAAATTTGAGAGACGAAAACGTGGCAACAATGTCGATGGTTCGCCAGGAGTCAAAAGAGATCAAGCTTTGGACAGAATGTACACCGTTCACCCTAATAAGGCCGAATGTTTCTACCTTGATTCTCTTCTTCATGCAATGAAGGGCCAACATAATTCTCGGATTTAAAAACTATTGATAGTGTCGTTTATCCCACATACCAGTCATCATGCAAAGCTTTGGGTTTGGCAAGTTCCGTCAGAGTGTCAAGAGAGTGTTCAAATTATAAATGAAGTGTACAACAAGTGTCTGATTTCCATTAAAGACACGGTGCTGTCTTTAGGAAGACAATGTTTAGAGTACTATGGTTTGCCTCAGCCTGTAAGACGTGAACAAATCATACAAAACAGAGACTATCTCAGCGAGATTAGCTATGACATACTTTTATAAGCACAACAAAAGTTTATTAAATACAGAACAATATCAAATTTATAACCAAGTTAGATAGGTCAGGTAAATGTCTGTTTTTACATGGCTGCCTATAATATTAGCGACAAAAATATCCAAATATTATAACTTTTTTAAAGAAATGTCCTTTAATTTAAAACACGACTTTTAATAAAATCAACAAAAGATAACCTAAATTACATCCAATAAAAATTTCAGCTCTGAATCTTTACTCAAACATAAGTTAACATGGGGTATAAAATTTAACATGGAAATCTCTATGGCCACTTATAAAAAAGATGCACTGTATTATACTTCTATGTTATAGAATAGTAGCTTTGTTTCACCCCCCCCCCCCCCCCCCCGTCGTATTTAAAAATTCACGGGACTCTAACTCCAAACTTTCAGTCCTTATTTCACCCACCTAGGGGTAATGGATGCTTACATTACGAAAGGAACCTTCTGTCCAAGTTTCGTGTTTCTAGCTCCAGTAGTTACGTTGATGAATCAGTCAGCCGGAGGACAAACACTTTTATATATTGTTATTAATGAAGACTGCACAAACTTAAAAAGTAATAAAATTGAAATAAAAAAATAAATCAGGGGATGAAAAATAATGTGTCCTAATTGACCAGTAAAGTAAGGTTAGAATTTAGAATGCGCGGCAGTTCATAATTCAAAAATTCTACTATGGGTTTCTTATGGGAGCTTGATTTTACAGACAAAATACGCCGCATAGGTAGAAATCTTAACTAGTTCATGCTACAAGCGATAAAGACTGTACAATTATCTTCCTGTTACTAAAGGTTTAACTATATAAAAAGCTTCTGTTAAAGATATATTGCAAATTAAAAACAACGCTATCCATCGAAGTAACGTACATCGTTTCTAACGTCTTGCGCATGAGTGAAACAGAAAATCCAGAAACACTTGGGAAAGAAAAAGAACGCGAATATTTTGCGGTACTAGGGACGTTTAGATCGTGAAAATCCCCAAAATATGACAGTTGATTTCGTATTTTCATCATAACAAACAATCATAATATTCATAATCACAATTTTTGGATGATATATTAGTTCTGTGATATTGATTCACATTAGGTTGTATGTATCTGTGGACTGGTTTTTTTGTATTTGTTATTAATAATGACAGAAAGACATGTGTTAACAATAGGGGCAATTGCCATTTTTTTTGTTGGAGAAAATTCTTTACAGTCAAATAATGTAGCGAAAGTCAATTGGTATACTGAATTAAATGTGCTTGAAGAGTTTATTCGAGCTAGAATGCGAGAAGATTATGGTAAGTTAATGTGTCAAAGTTTGTATAAATGAATAAAGACCAGCGAACAGTAAGATAAATGTATATTGGTAATGACAAGTGTTAGATAAATAAGAATAATAAGAATAGTATATTATGTGACCGTGCGGTCGAGATAGTTGAATGTTAGTTACGAATTGAGACTTGTGAATTGAATGTGTATGAATGAGTTAAGAATTAAGAATGAATGCTACCCTGTGTTCCAAGGTGGGGGTGGCTCTGGCTCCCACCCTTACGGGTGGGGAGGGGTGAAACAGGTCCCCGCCAGAGGCTCTAACATAATGTATATTGATAAATTCTGTGTCAAGTAAAATTATGACGTATTTTGTTTTATTATGCACAGATATTCCTTAAGAGAGGCAACATGTGAAACCCCAAGAGGTGCATTTGTATATCAACATATGGCTACACCTGCCCTACACGGACGTTATAATGTACTGTGGACCAATAATTTGCGTGCTTGAGACGTACATCTGAAGAAAAGTGAATCAGCTGAGGTCCGAGCTGTTGTCTCTGAAAATTCTTTTAATCCCCAAGTCAGCCTAATGTTGAGGTACAACTTCATGAAAGCTTAGGACAAACTGATAGGAGCGAAGCACTGCTTTTGCTATCGGGCCCTGAACTAGAAAGATCTGAAGAAAATCTACTTCACAGTGTCGAAGAACTATTAGTGTCCGAGGACTATTTTAATGGCCCATCAAGAAAACAGTTTGTGGGTCAGTTTTTCACCAAAAGTGAATCAGATTTCGCATTAGGAAGTGCAATTTTTTATTGTAAAATACTTTTTCTTTGTTTTGAAATAAATTGTTGTTTAAATTGTGATTTTTTTTAAATGGGTGTTTCAGACCCAATTGGTACTAAAATGAAAGTGATTTTTACTTGTACATGAAAGGTTTAATCAGGAATGCTAAGTTTTTCCTTTTCTAGCAAAAATGTGTGAAAAGAAAAAAGCTTGGGATTGATGATGATTCTTAAATCAAAATTTGGCAATTGATTGAAAACATTTGCAAATATGATATTTTTATGTATCATTTTAAATTCACAGCCGTATCTCTAGCATGTGAAAATCAAAGCCATTTATGTGGAGGGGGAAGTCAATGGCAGTATGAACCACTGTGCGACATACGTTCGAGGCAAATGTAGTGGTAAAAGTTGAATTCAAATATTTATTAAATACCACCGGTTCCGTTCGTGTTTGGTATCAAGATCAACAGTAAAAATATCAGTCTTCATGGTACAAGTAGTGGGATATATAAGAAAATTACTTTAATGGTAGAATTTAAGCGTTAAAATGACGCCTCGATTTCACCCATAAGGATTACACGGGGAACTGAAATACGGGTCTCGTGTTATGAACTGAGTTCAAATTTCGCGCGTCATTCACTTTACTGGTCAATTATCTCTGTCCTTACCCAACCGTTTTTATTAGGCGGGATTTTTGAAACGAAGTGGAATATTGGTTGCCTAAATTACAAATACAGCTCGTCCGTAAAACAATGTAAAAGGAACTGATATAAACATGGAATGAATATTAATAAACTGAAACCAATTTTTGGAGTGTGGTATGAAGACTACGAAGAAAATGCCATTTTGAACAATAAAAGAGAATTGTGCTTATATTTATTTTATTCATTAATAAAAGTCTATCACTTTACCAAGTTAATTTCAACATAAACATATCAACTACCTATTTTGTCAATGCCTTCAATTTTCGCCAAGTGTGAACCGTTTAAAGAGTCAGAAAGTGAACGCTGTTGTTTTCATCTTCCATGGGAAAAGTACTTTGATGTTTTTGGTTGAATTTTTGTTGTTAGTTAAATTAGTGAAGTGATTCTGAGAACCTTTTCGTAGTAACATGGACTGCAGTGGTAGACCACCTCGTGATTGATAAGAAATATAAAGAAGTGTATTATTCTATAATCAATAAAAAATTATTTGGTATGCAATTTTTACAGCACAGTGAAAATGCCAATAGTTGTAATGATTTAGGATCTATTTTACTAGCAATTGAATCTAAAGATAGTAACCAGTGTCAAATTATTAATACAGTTTAAAGCTGAACAACTTTTGCACATAAATCTGTCGAAGTAAATATGACAGACTACAGACATCTGGACATGGGGGAACAAAATTCTTTAAGTTATGTCTGTGGATACTTAACGAAGAAATGCTTGATGAAATACACCTGTGAAACATGTAGTTATTTTGCCGTTGCACGAAATGTCATCATATATGATAAACTTCTCTGTCACTTCAACGCCTTTGATGATGATTCACCATTTTGGTAATCCTAAAGCTGGCCATTCACGTTCCAACGTCGCAGTACGATTGTATTGGATGCAACTGTTGTACAATTCTGTTAAAAAGCAGCAGTACACACACACGTTACGACCTTGCAGTTAAAAATTTGCGATCGTGATGACAACAAGTCCGACGAAATGACGAAAATGTACTTTTATAGCTGCTCTCACTGTCGAGTCATGTCCACACATGATCAAATTTCCATCCAATACAACACGATTGTACTGCTGCAGACAGACTTGTTCACCGACCGTCCACATTCAAACGATTTGCTTGATCGCATACACAGACGTTCAAAAACACTTCAATTTCGTCGCATCCAACACAATTGTACTGCGGCGTTGGAACGTGAGTGGCGGGTTTAAGATGCTACGTGAAGCATTCACCTTTTATGTTGCAGCCCTAGAAAAACGATTTGCTTCACTATTTTCTACCAACTCAATTTTACCTTCATGTGGCCGATATATAAAAGAAGCCCTCGTAACTGTGTCCATACTAGCATACAATACCCCTGTGTCCTGTTTACAGTTTCCACAAGATTATTTATTCTATTTATTTGTTCGAACGCGCATTTTCTATTCAGTAAAAATAATAAATCACAGTTACAATATTAAATACCAAACATCTAAAATGTCAAATTTGACGCACAATGTTGACATGGTGGTAAATTTTATTTAGTAACAAGGTTTGCCACTACAGTTTCAAGCCAAAATTCAAGGTCATGACCATACCCAACGGTCGATTATTGTTGTTCTAGTCCGTTACGTGCATTTCTTATGGGCCTTTGAAAAGCTGTCCTTACTGTATAATATTCTGTGCCTCGGCCTCAACCGTCATTTAATTTAAACCAGAGAACACATTTAAACTATGACGTCCTGTGCTATGACCCTTCTCTTTCTTTGGTAATAATTTTGTAATTATTTCTGCCAGAAAATTTGCATTTTTGGTATCGATTTTTTGTGTTTTAGGTGAAACGAGAACAATCACCCACTTATCCGCCTCGAATTGTATTTTTCAAAAAATCACGTCCTTTTTGACTTAAAAAGTTAGGTTAGAATTCTGGTCAGATGGTCAAAATTTCTAAACTGACACTCTTTGACGATTATCTCTGGAGATTTAGGCAAGCAAAATGTTGTATACTTTGGAGTATACTGAATCTCTTCGAACATGGAGAAGATCTTCATGGAAAAACGTCCACAACTGTAAACTGTGTCCCTATTTTACAACATCGCTTTTCTTAATGGTCAACCACGTGCGACGGCACCGTTCATCACAGAAAAAATATACGTGCGAAAAGGCGGAAATTGAAGTGTATTATTGTAAAGACTGCGATTTTAAAACGGAACTAACGATTTTGTTCAAACAACACATTAATAAAAATCACGGTGTTAAAGTCGAATCTAGAGACGATTTATCACTGCAGGATTTCAGTGTGCAGAAGTACGTTTGCGAAAAGTGCGATTTTGAAACAAATCTGTCGTTGAAGTGGCTTCAACATGCTTCAGAATGCACGGGAAAAAAAGAAAATCTCAAAAGTGTGAGTTCTGTGAAAGAGAATATGACAGATATTTTCTATTTCAAGAAAATTGATGGAGAAGGTTGGTATTGCTGTGCGCTATGTTCCTACACAGTTAGAAATGAAGCTATTTTAAAATGCCATATGGAAAAACATTTAAACAAACGATATGCGTGTCATAAGTGTCCATTAAAATACGAATCGAAAAGAACTTTAAGAAATCACATAAAACGAAACCACTTAGATGAACATGATCTTGAATGGCACAGATGTGAAAAATGTCCTTACAAATCTGTAATAAAAAGTAATTTAACTAGGCACATAAACAACTTACACTTGAAAGAAGAAGAAGGTATATGGTACCAATGCAGTGAGTGTCCATATAAATGTAGGACGAAATCTTATTTACAGACTCACGTGACTTTAAAACATCTAAATGAAGAAAAAATTACGTGGTATAAATGCGAACAGTGCGAATTTAAAAGTAAGCATAAATCATCTTTAAAAAATCACATAAATATCCATTTAAAGAAACAAAACGGGAATGGGCATAAGTGTGAAAATACTGAAGAATGCAATCAGTGTCTGTTCAACAAAAATAAGCGCTATGAATGTAAATATTGCCCATTCAAAACTAAATGGGGGTCCAATTTAAAGAAACATGTAATTACTCTACATTTGGATGATAAAGAAGCTAAATGGCACCAATGTGACAAATGTCCATACAGATGCAAATTTATTTCAGAATTAAATAAACACAGAGATGTTAATCATTCAGAAGAACCAAAATGGTATGAATGTGCCAAGTGTTCGTATAAAACGAAAGTAAAAAGCAGTTTAATACAGCATGTACAGGTTCATTTTGATACTAAACCATATAAGTGCAAATATTGTCCATATAAAGCGAGACGTGCTCCTAATTTAAACACTCATATAACTCACCGCCACACAAATCAGATCAATCCCGACGGTACGGATGTTAAATGGTACGAGTGTGAACAGTGTCCTTTTAAAGCTATAAAAAAATATTCTTTGAAAACTCACATAGACAACTTACACTTGAATGAAGAAGAGATCAAATGGCACCAGTGTAATGAGTGTCCATTTAAGGCGAAAAATGCGTATCGTTTAAAACGTCATGTAATTTCTAGACATTTGAATGAAGAAAAAATCAAGTGGTACGAGTGCGAATATTGTCCACATAAGACGAAACTCAAGACCTATTTAACGTCTCATATGAATAAATGCCATTTTGAAAAAACGAAAGTTGAATGATACAAATGCGATCAGTGTCTTTACAAAAATAAAATTTAATCATTTTTATAAACACAAAGAAAACTACATAAAGACAATTCAATTTTAATTTTAAGTTTTTATGTAAGTAAAATAAATGTTTTATTTTCTACATGATGACTGGTTATTTAATATACAAGGGTCTCCCATAAGTGTAGTAGTATCCATTCACGATCTTTATATATTAAAGTAGGCTTTGATATTTTTTCTTTAAGTTGGATAAACCATGGGATAAACTGATTTCATGATTTAGTTTTTTGTCTGTCCGTAGTCTGATTGATATTTACTTTGAGTTGGATTGCCACTTTTCTACTTCATTTATTAGATCAGAATTATTAGACGCAATTTTTTTATCAAGCAAATAAATGTTTTAATTTTGTCAGCATAGATAATATAGATCTTTCTTTCGAAGAAGTAACTATGAGGCTCTCGAACATATTTTCTGTAATGTAAAAATACGCTGGATAGTTTTTAATTTTTTTTTTTTTTCACATAGGTGGGAACATCAACTGTGGCGAAAATTTTATCAACAGGGGACCAAAATTTAAAAACATGAAAAAAAACGAATATTTCACTGTAGATAGTCTTTTGGCATATTCTAGGGAACAGTTGGAATTTAAAGGGGGGCGAACCACATTATACAAAATTCTCAAGTCAATGGGTTATAAACACTGCGAAGTAAATGGTCGCAAAATTCTATGCGAACAAAAACATGAAAATTACTTTTCTGAGAACATATTTACAGTTTCTAAATTCTTGTGAAAATTTGACTTTCGTGTATTTGGATGAAACATGGATCTATCAAAATGGTTCGTCCATTCGTCGCTGGGTGCACAATACTGATCTAAAAAGCAATCCCACCAAAATTAAAAGTGAAGGATCAAGGTTTACTATTCTCCACGCGGGTTGTTCAACGGGGTTCTTGGATGGTTGTAACAATTTTTTAAATTCGAAAAATAACGATAGAGACTATCATAAAACGATGGACGGGACAATTTTTCAAAATTGGGTGGTTAATCAGCTCATTCCTGCATTGGCAAAGTTGAACCAAAAATGTGTGGTGGTTTTAGACGGTGTACCGTATCATTCGCTTCAGTTGGATAAACCACCCACTTTTTCCAGTAAAAAATGTGAAATGCAGGAATGGCTCTTTAAACATAGTGTTGAATTTGACAAAAAATGTTCGAAGAAACAGTTGTGGGATTTAATTAAACCGTTTTACTTTCGACGAATTGGCATTAGATTCACCAGAATATTACAAGCTGCTTACTGTTTCCTTCACTCTAATTCAGGTCACACGAATTACCGTTCGTCGTCAGAGAACTCGTTTGATTCACAGACCAGAGCGCACTCAGGCCAACGTCGACTCTAAAAGCGTTCGGAAACGATTTGATTTATAAGCCATGATCCGTGATCTGATACACATCCTAACCGGTTTCGACCATAATTTCTTGTTGTTCCAACTTTCGAATTCTCAGTTTTTCGAAATTTTAGTTTGGGGACTTTTCAGTTTACTCCTATTTATTATTCAATTTTTGGATTTTACAATTTCTCAATTTTTCAATTTCTCGGTTTTCGGTCTTTCTATTCAATTTTACGATTTTTCAACTTCACTTTTTTGATTTTTCGATTTTTCAATTTTTTAATTTCTCAGTTTTTGGACATTTTAGTTTTGGGATTTTTCAGTTTACTTATTATTCAATTTTTCGATCTTACGATTTTGCAGGTTTTTGATTTTTCAATTTTTCGATTTTTTTAAGGTTTCGATATTTCAACTTCACTTTTTTGATTTTTCGATTTCTCAATTTTTCGATTCTTTAGATTCTCAGTTTTTAGATATCTCAGTTTTGGGATTTTTCACTTTTTCGATTTCTCGATTTTTCATTTCAGTTCTTCGATATTTCCGTTTTTTACGTTTTCGAATTTTTCAAATGTTTTGATTTCTTAATCTATCGATTTTTCGACTTCTTGGTTTTACATTTTCTGTTTTTCAATTGAAGTTTTTTCAAATTTTCGTTTTTTCAATTTTTCAAATTTGACATTCATCAACTCTCAATTTTTCGATTTTTCAATTAATCGATGTTTTGATTTTCCCATTTTATGACCTGCCAGTGTTTCGATTTTCCTGTACTTCAATTCTATAATTTTTTTATTTTTCAGGTTTTTGATTTTTCAATTTTTCAATTTTTAAGGTTTGTATTTTTCGACCTCAATTTTTTGATTTTTCGGTTTTTCAGTTTTAGGATTTTTCAATATTTCAATTCTTCGGCTTTTCTATTTTTGACTTCTGGGTTTTTCGATGTGTCTACCTACTTACTTTTTTGATTTGCAATTTTTGGATTTTTAAATTTTTGATTTTTCAATCTTTTGATTTTGTAATTTTTCAATATTTCTTAATCTTTCGATTTTTCGACTTCCTGGTTTTAGACGTTCTGTTTTTCAATTTTTCGATTTGTTAATTTTTCATTCCCGATTTATCGAGATTTGATTGTTCAGGTTTTCGATTTATCAGTTTTTCAATTTTTTTATTTTGGCCTATTTCGGTTTCTCAGTTTTTCCAGTTTTCCATTTTTTCGTTTTTTGATTTTTCCGCTATTCCAATTTTTCAACTTTTAACTTTTTGTTTGTCGATTTCTCTATTTTTGGATTTCATCACTTTTCGATTTCTCGTTTTTTTGATCTTTCAATCTCTCAATTTTTCAATTTTTCGAATTTTTAAGTTTTTTGATTTCTCGATTTATCGAGATTTGGATTTTTCCATATTTTGATTGTCAATTTCTCAATTTATAAACTGTTCAATTTTTAATTTTTCGATTTTGGTCTTTTTCGGTTTCTCAATTGTTCGACTTTTCGACTCCACGATTTCTTGATCTTTTCATTTTTCGATTTCTCGATTTTCCAGTTTTTCGGTATTTCGATTTTTCAGTTATCCAGTTTTTTAAATTTGGGAGTTTCGATTTCACGATTTTTCGATTATTTTTATTTTTCATTTTTTTTTCTCACAGTTAATATCATACACTGTATCGAAATTAACCACAAAAATTGTCACTAAAAACATTTAAAAATCCATACAAAATAGAACACAGTGTTTCCAAAAAATTTTCCCGAAAAAAATTCATCGGGTTATTACGATTTCAACAATATTCTTAGTTTTTACCAAAAATATTAGTCGTTATAAAAAACGACCAATTGAATATTTTTGAATATTTCAAAGGACGATTCTGGGAAAACCATTGTGTTTATCGAAGAAATGAAAACGGATATGACTTCTGCGGCCCGAAACCTACAAGAAAATGTATTAAGTGAAATTTCGAAAATTTTGTTGAAAATTGGTGGGAAATAGGGGTTATTTTGCATATTTTTGAATATTTCAAGGGACGATTTTGGGAAAACCATTGTAGTTATCGAAGAAATGAAAACGGATATGACTTCTACGACCCGAAATCTACAAGAAAATGTACTAAGTGAAATTTCGAAAATTTTGTTGAAAATTGGTGGGAAATTGGGGTTATTTTGCATATTTTTGAATATTTCAAAGGACGATTCTGGGAAAACCATTGTAGTTATCGAAGAAATTAAAACGAATATGACTTCTGCGGCCCAAAATCCACAAGAAAATGTATTAAGTGAAGTTTCGAAAATTTTGTTGAAAATTGATAGGAAATTGGGGTTATTTTGCATATTTTTGAATATTTCAAAGGACGATTCTGGGAAAACCATTGTAGTTATCGAAGAAATGAAAACGAATATGACTTCTGCGGCCCTAAATCTACAAGAAAATGTATTAAGTAAAATTTCGAAAATTTTGTTGAAAATTGGTGGGAAATTGGGGTTATTTTGCATATTTTTGAATATTTCAAGGGACGATTTTGGGAAAACCATTGTAGTTATCGAAGAAATGAAAACGGATATGACTTCTACGACCCGAAATCTACAAGAAAATGTACTAAGTGAAATTTCGAAAATTTTGTTGAAAATTGGTGGGAAATTGGGGTTATTTTGCATATTTTTGAATATTTCAAAGGACGATTCTGGGAAAACCATTGTAGTTATCGAAGAAATTAAAACGAATATGACTTCTGCGGCCCAAAATCCACAAGAAAATGTATTAAGTGAAGTTTCGAAAATTTTGTTGAAAATTGATAGGAAATTGGGGTTATTTTGCATATTTTTGAATATTTCAAAGGACGATTCTGGGAAAACCATTGTAGTTATCGAAGAAATGAAAACGAATATGACTTCTGCGGCCCTAAATCTACAAGAAAATGTATTAAGTAAAATTTCGAAAATTTTGTTGAAAATTGGTGGGAAATTGGGGTTATTTTGCATATTTTTGAATATTTCAAGGGACGATTTTGGGAAAACCATTGTAGTTATCGAAGAAATGAAAACGGATATGACTTCTACGACCCGAAATCTACAAGAAAATGTACTAAGTGAAATTTCGAAAATTTTGTTGAAAATTGGTGGGAAATTGGGGTTATTTTGCATATTTTTGAATATTTCAAAGGACGATTCTGGGAAAACCATTGTAGTTATCGAAGAAATTAAAACGAATATGACTTCTGCGGCCCAAAATCCACAAGAAAATGTATTAAGTGAAGTTTCGAAAATTTTGTTGAAAATTGATAGGAAATTGGGGTTATTTTGCATATTTTTGAATATTTCAAAGGACGATTCTGGGAAAACCATTGTAGTTATCGAAGAAATGAAAACGAATATGACTTCTGCGGCCCTAAATCTACAAGAAAATGTATTAAGTAAAATTTCGAAAATTTTGTTGAAAATTGGTGTTATTTTGAATATTTCTGAATACTTCAAAGGACGATTCTGGGAAAACCATTGTAGTTATCGAAGAAATGAAAACGAATATGACTTCTGTGGCCCGAAATCTACAAGAAAATGTATTAAGTGAAATTTCGAAAATTTTGTTGAAAATTGGCGGGAAATTGGGGATGGGGTGAGATTAGAGAATAATAGCAGACTAATTTGTATGCTGTAATTCTAGAATCTCGAAAGTTGTTTTGTTAATCTAATTAATGCATATCATTACTTGGTCTTTACCCGTAATGATAGAAGTCTTGCCTGAATGCCGGTTATTTCCGGGTCAGTGGTGGGTCTTAATAATAATAATAATAATAATAATAATATTATAATATTCTTTTGGAGTCATTAAATGGTCCAAAACTGATCTTGAAAATTTAAACATCGCAACAAGGAAAATCTTCACACAGTATAGAAGGCATCACCCAAAATCGTCGATTGAAAGATTCTCATTACCAAGACAGAATGGAGGAAGGGGTTTCCAGAACTTAGAAAACTTATATCAGATACAAATTTCAGATTTGAAGAAGTATTTCTTGAAACGAGCGGAAAGAAATGAAATGTTTCGCACCATCACAAGAGCAGATTTGAACCACACACCCTTAAATCTGTCGAACACCGAAGAAATCCACACCCCCCACACAATAGATAAAATAATAAGTGGGCTAAAACAAAAACAACTACATGGAAAATTCTACAAAGACTTAGAAGAAAATCATGTCAATAAGAAGATGTCATTGATTTGGTTAAAAAAATCAAGTTTGTATGCCGAAACAGAAGGATTTGTGTTTGCTATTCAAGACCAAGTAATCAATACCAAGAATTATAGAAAATACATCATCAAAGATCCGAACATAAAAAACGACTGCTGTCGCCTATGCAAAGCAAAACCTGAAACGATCCAGCACATAATCTCTTCTTGCAGCATCCTAGCACAAACTGATTACAAAGCTAGACACGACAACGCAGCCAAAATCATTCACAAAGAATTAGCAACACTTATGAACTTAATCGAAGATACGACACCCTATTACACTTATATTCCGTCTCCATTCCTTGAAAATAACAAATACAAATTATACTGGGATCGCACAATACTTACAGACTTAAACATTACAGCTAACAGACCAGACATCATACTTATCAAAAAACACACGAACGAAGCCATTCTTATTGACATTGCTATTCCTAACACAAACAACATTATTCAAACATACGACACCAAGATTTCAAAATATCTACAATTATCGATAGAAATGAAATCCATGTTGAATCTTAAAAAAATTTCAATTCTACCCCTAGTTATCTCTAATGTAGGTGTAGTTCCAAATAGCTTAGTTGAGAATTTAAAGTCTTTGCATTTGAATGATTCAATAATTGTCAAAATTCAAAAAGCTGTTTTGTTAGGAACATGTCATATTGTTCGTAAGTTTCTTGAACAGTCTGATCATGTCAGTCAGATTAGATTAGCACCAGTAGGTCAGAGTAGTGTAGGTCACTTTTCATGTGATGCGCGGATAAATGGTCGGTAGTTACGCTGGACTTTTGGGGATGGGGTGAGATTAGAGAATAATAGCAGACTAATTTGTATGCTGTAATTCTAGAATCTCGAAAGTTGTTCTGTTAATCTAATCAATTCATATCATTACTTGGTCTTAGTACCCGTAATGATAGAAGTCTTGCCTGAATGCCGGTCATTTCCGGGTCAGTGGTGGGTCTTAATAATAATAATAATAATAAGCATATATTTATTTAAAGTGGAAAACATTTAGTTTCTTTCTTAATTCTAAACTAAATAAAACTTAAAGTAAATTAAGTCCTATTTATGTCGTTTTTCTTGGTGTTTATAAAGCAATGATACAGTTTTGGTTTTGTAAGCACACTGATGGCATTTGTGCCATTTATTAGCGTCCGTTTTATCAAAATGGCATTTCTTTATATGTTTCGTTAAATAGTTCTTGAGTTTCGCCTTATGCGGACAATATTCGCACTCGTACCATTTGATTTTTTCATCACTCACATGTTTTAAAATTGTATGATATTTTAATTGATACGAATGTTTAGCCTTAAATGAACACTCACTGCATTGATACCATTTGATGTCCTTGTCATCTAAATGTAGAGACGATACATGTTTTTCTAAATGCGACTCCCATCGAGTTTTGTATGGGCAATATTTACATCCGTACCCTTTATTTTTGTTGAGCAAACACCGACTGCATTCTTTCGATTTAACGTCTTTTTTAAACGAATTTACGGTTTTAATTGAACACTTTTTACACTTCCACCATTCGGTGTTTTGTTTCTTTAAATGGATCACATTCACGTGGTCTCTTAAAGATCTTTTGTCCCTTGTTTTAAATTGGCACTGGTCGCATTGGTAGCATGTAACATGTTTTACAATTTCGTGAGACTTTAAACGATATTTATTCCTTGTTTTGAAATAACACTCACTGCATTGAAACCATTCACCTTCTTCTTCTTTAAAGTGTAAGTGATTTATGTGCCTAGTTAAATAGGTTTTTAACATGGTTTTGAATGGGCATTTTTCACATTTGTGCCATTTAACATCTCGTTTGTCTAAGTGGTTTCGTTTTATGTGATTGCTTAGATTTCCTTTCCATTTGGTTTTAAATGGACACTTATCACACTCATATTTTTTGTTTAAATCATGCTTTGGCATATGATATCTTAAAATAAATTTATATTTAGCTTTGTAGGAACATAGTGGACAGTAATACCAACGTATTCCGTCAATTTGCTTGGAACTGAATCTCCATGTAGTATTTTCTTTTTTCTCCATGCATTCTGAAGTATGTTGACCCCACTTCAACGACAGATTTGTTTCAAAACCGCACTTTTCGCAAACGTACTTCTGCACACTGAAGTCCAGCAGTGATAAATTGTCCCTAAATTCGCTTTTAACACTGTGATTTTTACTAATGTGTTGTTTGAATAGAATGGTTAGTTCCGTTTTAAAATCGCAGTCTTTACAATGGTACTCTTCAATTTTGGCGTTTTCGCACGTATATTTTTCCAGAGATGAACGGTGCCGTCGCACGTGGTTCACCATAAAGAAAACTGATGTTGTAAAATAGGGACACAATTTACAGTTGTGGACGTTTTTCCATGAAGATCTTCCCCATTCTCGAACTGATTCAGTATATTCCAAAGTTGACATTTTGCTTGTCTAAATCTCCAGAGATGATCGTCAAAGAGTGTTGGTTTAGAAATTTTGACCATCTGACTAGAATTCTAACCTAACTTTCTACGTCAAAAAGGACGTGATTTTTTGAAAAATGCAATTCGACGCAGATTAGACGGTGATAAATGCGTGATTGTTTTCGTTTCACCTAAAACACACAAAATCTGTAGTAAATATGATAATTTAACAGCAGAAATAATTACAGAAAACATTACTCTATGCACATCCATCAACTGTTGATTTATTTTGGTAAACAAATATCCCTAACTCGAATTTGGTTATGTTATTATTTTCTAATTTTCAACTCGTTCGTTTAATAATGGTGTGTCTACATTTATGGCCGACCTATCTATGAAATTAAAAAACAAATAGATTGCTGCTTAATCAAAATGCACGGTATCATGCGGTATCGATTGTACTAACTGGTGATTCTAGAAAATGGTAAAATTTTCGAAGAAATGAAACCAAAAATAACTCCTGGAGGTTGAAATATTCAAACAAAATTTTTATGTAACGCGATAAATTTTAAAACCCGCGGAAAATTCAAAATTGGACTTTGAACAGTGATCGTCAACAAAAGTGGAACCCTACGTTGTGTTTTTTCTGGTAGAATGCGTTCTAATGCGTAGTAGTGAACCCCAAATTTGGAAAAGCGCCCCTAAGTCAAATACACTTTAATTTCTTACTCGAGATTGCTAATAGTGTTTAGTTTTTTAATTATTAGTTTTCGAAATCTATTTATGGCGGTTTTTACACTTGTGTATTAAATAACTAGTTATAATGAGGAAAATAAAACACTTGGTTACTTTTTTACTTCCCGAGCGTAAGCAAAGGAAGTATTGTAATCGAGTCCGTCGGCCGACTCTCTACTTTTACGTTTTCTCGATCTTTCATGACCCCTAGAAGACGAAGAAATAGGTCTCCCATTTCCGTCTGTCTGTCCGTCTGTCCGTCCGTCTGTCCGTCTGTTGTCCCGGATTTTTATTAGACAGATAATCTCCGAAAGTACTCGACCGATTGTTGTGAAATTTTGTACTTACATTAAGAATATCATGTAGATGGTAAAACGCTAACCAAAATTTGTCTAATCATCCCCACCACTAATGCGATGACGTCACTTCAAAATTGTACATAGTAAATGGGTTTTCAATTGTATAAAATAACATAGTCCTACACATGTAGTTTACAACTCTGAGTCGACTTTTCACCCGAAACGTCCAGATTTTTGGAAAAAAAATCAAAATTATAAAACAACATTTTGAAATTTAATTTTTAATCTGCTAACCAGAATGCTTTGGAATGTTGCAGATGTTTTAAGGCTATAAAGAGCATCATAAATCTTTAGTCAAAAAATATTTGCTTATCCCCTCCAAAAACTTGATGACGTCAGCTCGAAAGTTTGCCATCTCTAAAATGTACAAAATATGATGAGCCTGTACTTGTCATTTATCACTCCATTCATATTTTTTGGATTTGCATATACAGAGTGACTCAAAAAAATTAATGAATGCGTAAATATATTTTATTGATTTAATCAGGAACTACAAAACGGAATGCTCTGACATCTTGCAGATGTTTTAAGGTTATAAAGAGCATAATAAATGTTTAGTTAAAATATATTTGCTTATCCCCTCCAAAAACTTGATGACGTCAGCTCGAAAATTTGCCGAATAAATCATATCTAAAATGTACAAAATATGATCAGTCTGTACTTGTGATCTATCACTCCATTCATATTTTTTGGATTTGCATATACAGGGTGATTCAAGAAAATAAATGAAAGCGTAAATTTATTTTACTGATTTACTCAGGAACTACAAAACCGAATGCTTCGAAATCTTGAAGATATTTTTAAATTATCATAAGCATGGTAAATTTTTGATCAAAACGTATTTGGTCGTCCCCCCTAAAAAATTTATGATGTCACCACAAAATTTTGCTGAAAAAATCCTATCTAAAATGTACAAAATATGGTGAGTCTCTTCTTGTGATTTATCATTCCATTCAAATTTTTTCGATTTGCATATACAGGGTGACTCAAAAAAATTAATGAATGCGTAAATTTATTTTATTGATTTAATCAGGAACTACAAAACCGAATGCTTTGAAATCTTGCAGATGTTTTAAGGTTATAAAGAGCATGATAAATTTTTAGTCAAAATATATTTGGTTATCTTCTACAAAAAACTGATGACCTCAGCTCAAAAGTTTGCCGAATAAATCGTATCTAAAATGTGCAAAATATGATGAGTCTGTACTTGTGATTTATCATTCCAATCATATTTTTGGATTTGCATATGCAGGGTGACTCAAAAAAATTAATGAAGGCGTGAATTTATTTTATCGATTTAATCAGGAATTACAAAACCGAATGCTTTGAAATCATGGGAATATTTTAAAGTTATTATAAGCATGGTAAACTTTTGTTCAAAATGTATTTGTTCATCCTTCCTAAAAAAATTGATGACGTCACCCTTAAATTTTGCTGAATAAATCCTATCTAAAATGCAAAAAATTGGTCTAAAGAGTTTAGACAGTACTTCCCTCGCTGTCGGAAACGTGACGACTGCATGCCTATTATATTTTTTTTTTCGCAGTGGATTTCAAAGAATTCGGTTTTGTAGTTCCTGAGTAAATCAATAAAATAAATTTACGCATTCATTAATTTTTTTGAGTCACCCTGTATATGCAAATGCAAAAAAAAAATCAATGGAGTGATAAATCACAAGTACAGACTCATCATATTTTGTACAGTTTAGATAGGATTTATTCGGCAAACTTTCGAGCTGACGCCATCAATTCTTTGGAGGGGATAAGCAAATGTATTTTGACTAAACATTTATTATGCTCTTTATGACCTTAAAACATCTGCAAGATTTCAAAGCATTCGGTTTTGTAGTTCCTGATTAAATCAATAAAATATATTTACGCATTCATTAATTTTTTTTGAGTCACCCTGTATATGCAAATCCAAAAAATATGAATGGAGTGATAAATTACAAGTACAGACTCATCATATTTTTACAGTTTAGATAGGATTTATTCGGCAAACTTTCGAGCTGACATCATCAATTTTTTGGAGGGGATAAGCAAATATATTTTGACTAAACATTTATTATGCTCTTTATAACCTTAAAACATCTGCAAGATTTCAAAGCATTCGGTTTTCTGGTTTCTGAGTAAATCAGTAAAATAAATTTACGCATTCATTAATTTTCTTGAGTCACCCTGTATATGCAAATCCAAAAAATATGAATGGAGTGATAGATCAAAGGTACAAACTCATCATATTTTGTACATTTTAGGTATGATTTATTCCACAAACTTTTGAGCTGACGTCATCAAGTTTTTGGAGGGGATAAGCAAATATTTTTTGACTAAAGATTTATGATGCTCTTTATAGCCTTAAAACATCTGCAACATTTCAAAGCATTCTGGTTATCAGATTAAAAATTAAATTTCAAAATGTTGTTTTATAATTTTGATTTTTTTTCCAAAAATCTGGACGTTTCGGGTGAAAAGTCGATTCGGAGTTGTAAACTACATGTGTAGGACTATGTTATTTTATACAATTGAAAACCCATTTACTATGTACAATTTTGAAGTGACGTCATCGCATTAGTGGTGGGGATGATTAGACAAATTTTGGTTAGCGTTTTACCATCTACATGATATTCTTAATATACGTACAAAATTTCACAACAATCGGTCGAGTACTTTCGGAGATTATCTGTCTAATAAAAATCCGGGACGGCAGACGGACAGACGGACGGACAGACGGACGGACAGACGGACAGACAGACGGAAATGGGAGACCTATTGCTTCGGCTTCTAGGGGTCATGAAAGATCGAGAAAACGTAAAAGTAGAGAGTGGGCCGACGGACTCGATTACAATACTTCCTTTGCTTACGCTCGGGAAGTAAAAATATGATGAGTTTGTACTTGTGATTTATCATTCCATTCGTATTTTTTAGATTTTCTTAAGAGGTGGTTCAAAAAAATTAATGAAGTCAATTTATTTTATTGATTAAATTAAAGGCAACACTTATTATTAGTATTACACCCCAACCAACCCAATTTGGTAGACACAAAATTTGTTGAAGGAAAAACTCGGTTGAAACATAAGGGTAGCACGCTTATTTACATCGACTTTAACATTACAGACCTGCATTTGTTTTATGCGCTCACTTGGTTCCGCGAATGTGAAATAGACATGTTTATAATCAACCAATTGTGAATTTCACCGTCAAGAATTAAAATAAAACCCAATGTTTCATATAATAAGCGGAAGTCGAAGCAATAAAACCGATGGTCGTTTTGTTTACAGTTTCTCTGTTTGACCCTCACGTATGCTGTTACGCTTGTCATCTTAAATTAAGAATATTTATACATAAACGATTTTCAGTTGCCCCTCATATTACTAAACAGCGGATTTCTGTCGGGCTACGTCACGATTATAGGGGGGGACGTGCTGGATCTCCGGGTGATAGATAATCACTGAATTTAATCGGTACTAATTCCATAAATATAATATACGATTTATTAATCAAACGGCTAAGTAAATGAGAACGGGAATTAACAGCAGAGTGCAACGAAACAGCGTTATTCTAATCTCAAATAAACGAAGTGCAGTCCGCAACCGCAATGAATTCGCATCCCGTACGAGCCGTACCGAGTTTGGCCTTGCCTAGCCCGACAGAAATCCGCTCTCTAGATATTACACACCGGCGCCGTATACGTGAGTAAATTGTTTCGTTATTTTATTGATTATAAGAAATCAATATTCAAAACGACCCAATTCATTTTCCCGAAAATTTGAGAATACAATAATTTTATTCTTAGTATTACACTACATCTATCCCAACTGATATACGTGTCCTTGCAAAAATGTTGATGACGTCGTCACAATTTTTTTTTAAATTCCCACTACAAAAATGTAATGAGAAAAAAAAAATTGGTCTAAAGAGTTTAGACAGTACTTCCCTCTCTGTCGGAAACTTGACGACTGCATGCCTATTGTGTTTTTTCTCATTACATTTTTGTAGTGGGAATTTAAAAAAAAAATTGCGATGACGTCATCAACATTTTTGCAAGGACACGTATATCAGTTTGGGATAGATGTAGTGTAATACTAAGAATAAAATTATTATATTCTCAAATTTTCGGGAAAATGAATTGGGTCGTTTTGAATATTGATTTCTTATAATCAATAAAATAACGAAACAATTTACTCACGTATACGTATCCCAGGCAGCTGAAAATCGTGTATGTATAAACAT